AAGTATGGGTGGATATTTAAAGGAAGTTTGAAGGGTGGGTCTTCCAGAAAAGCATTGGCTTTTCCTATGAAAAGAGACATTCTTAGCTCACTTGCTTCTTTATCCTTTCCCTTTCTGCTTGCCAAAGGCCAGGATATAATGCCTGAAAATGTAGCCATCTGGTGACTTTGATGCCACAAGCATGTGGACAAAGCAACAACTAAGGATGGTGATACTGAAAAAACAGAATAAGAGGGGTCCCAGATAGCATTGTTGAGCCCTTCCAACAGCCTGGGTTGCCTACCCTTGGGCCTTCTTGCAAAGTGAGAAAAATAAAGCTCTATTTGTTTAAGTCTGTGGTGGTCAGGTTTTCTGTTCCTTGCAGGTCAAGATTTTCCTAAGACTATCTCCTATCAACCATAAAGCTAAATCAATTAAATTGTCTTCCTCCTTAGTTGATCTTTCCTTCCATATTATTTTCTTAGTCTGTGGTGTCATCATTCTCTAGGCAACTTTGCACAATCCTTACATTTTGCTTGACTGCTCCATTTCATCTTATACCTGGATTTATGCTTCTCAGCTAATCTGACTTCAGAGCTTGCCCACTCCATTTCATTTTGGATACTACTGTCAGGCTAAATGTAGTTAAACATTCCTGCATGAATAATACTTTAAATTTACCTAGAGATTTATGCCATTTCATCTTCTTAAAATATTCTAAGTATGTTGTATTATTGTCATGATAGACTGGAAACTGAGGCTTAAAGAAATTAAGGGCTTAGCCCATGGTTACCACCAGTAAGTGGCTGAATTAGAAGTAGAATCAAGGACCCTTGAATAAGACGCTGATGTTTCCTCAACGACGTTACTACTCTAACGCACTCTTTAGCAATTTATTTTTCTGCTCAATAGCCTCCTTTAGTCACTAACAATGTGATATATCAAGTACATTTTGTGCATTTAAAATAAATGTTCCCTTGATCTTCTCCATCCTACACATGTAACTTTTTTCTTGACTCCCTAACATCACTCCTCCACTTTAGTTAGACCAGTCTCAATATAGTCTCTCAGGACTGCTTCTACTGGTGTTCTGCTTCAAGACCTGGCTCAAATTCCACCTCATGGGCAGAACTTTTTGTTTTGTTGTTTAAAACTACATAACCAATTTGGGCCACTCTATTTTCTATATTGATGTAGAACTTCCTAGCAATTGACTTATGCTTTCTTGTATAGCTTTCTAATATATGCATATAAAACATGTTTATTTTATTTACCTTATAAATTTATGGAAGGGAACTATAACCACTTGTCTATATCGTAATATACTTGGAAACCCGATGCAAAGCACCTATCAGGAGCCAGTTGGTACTCACCCAATACACCATTTCTTGATTCTTCCTCCCTTCCTCCCTCTCTTTTCTTTCTTCTTTTCTTTTTCTCCCTTCCTTTTTCCCTTCATCCTTTCCTTCCCTTCCTCCTTCTGTCCTTCCTTCCTTTCTTCCTTCCTTATTTCCTTCCA